GTTCGAGGTATTTCCAGGGCTCTCGCAGGGCCTGGGCCGAGCCTCGGCCCTGGTCGGTGGAAGTTGTGGGGATATAGAGTGGGGTGAGGCGGCGATGGGTAACTGGCCATGTTCTGGCTAGGCCCCTCCCTTCCCCCAGGCGGGTGGCGTCTTCCCAGGCGTTAGCGTGAAGTCAGTGTAAACTGGCCAGAAATGCTGCTCCGCTGATCCAGACCAGGCTCAGTAGCGAGCGGAGCTGGTGTTTGTGGCCATGGAGGTCACGGGCAGCCGGAGTTCAGCACCTGGGTTTTCTCTGTCCCACAAAGGATGCCAGGTCACTGGTAACCACCTGGCTGCGGCTCACCTTTCTCTGCGCTCCCCCCGCTGTCAGGTGAAGGCTGGCTGTAGTTGTCAGGCTCCTGGCAGTTGGCTTACGAGCCTCATCATTAGTTGTCCTACCTCCCTTCACTCTGGATGACTGGTTGTGCCTTTGGGACGCATCTGTGCTCCCCATTTCTGTTCCCACCTCCTGTAGCCCTAGGCCCCCTCCTCACTGCCTGCTTCCTGAGCTGCATTCCTGATTATCAGTGCTCTCCTGCCTCTGTAGTCCTACTTGCAGGATCCAGTCTTTTGTTACTTTGTTTCCTGGGTGAAATCAGCCAATTCTGCCCTTGTTTCAACCCTAATAAGCTTGTTCCAGGCTATGGTTTGCATTACAGACTCCCTGGTTTCAAAACCCTCAGGTCAACTTCTGACTTCGCTCCTTTTGCCTTGCCCATTGGATTTGTGGATCTTTTTGTACCTCAGTTGGCACTGACTTCTCCTTTTTAATGTTATTCCAGCGCTGCTGTTGCCTTGTCTATATCTGACAGATGCTTTCCTGTCTCAGCTGAGACACCCTGAAGGGATTCATAAAAGTGTGCTGAGAAAAAAGATGCCTCAGGCTGCAGTCAGACATGGCTGCTGACCCTCAGGAAGAGCAGATTGTGCCTTGCTGTGTGCTGTGGTGCCTTCTCAGGAGAGAATGACACCCCCTCACATCTACTAGTGCAACAGACCGTTGCATCCTAACCCTTTTCCGTCACAGTGTTACATGGTAAAAATATCTAGTCTTCAGTCTTATTGCTAACTTGGATTACTGTGACAGAACCAGAACTAGACTGCACATAAAATTACAGATTTGAGAGCACTGACCTTAGAAGGGGGGCTGGAAATGAGTAAATGGGGGTAGTACTGTCTTCATTCGTCATTAATACTTTTTTACATCAGCCTAGGCCACTTGATAGGAAGTGCCAAGGACAGCGGTGATCTAAGCTGTGCCCATTTTTAGGATATAAATGACTGTAGAATCTGCTAAGGATTCGTAATGCATGGTCCTTGCCAGGTTATATTCCTTTGTCACATAACAAGGTGAACAGGGGTGTCCTGCGACCATCCTCTAATCCATTTTCACCAGTGGCTGCTGCACTCACTGGGCAGAGGGGAGCTCCCTCTTTTGCATGAGAAGGAATGTGAGCTTAACACCAGGGAAGAAAAATATTTCAGCCATTTTGCTAGGAACTATTTAGGGTATGTCGCCTGGAAGCTCTTTCTGTTAGAACCATTCAAGTTTGCAAGGAATAATTAAATATTCATTTTGAAATGGGAGAATGAGCACTGCTCTTTAGTCTTCTGGTCTGAGCACTTACACAAAGGGAGAGGAACCAAGATTCCAGTCTTAGCTTCACTGAATACGTAATTTAATGTATTTAAATGTTAATTGGAGTCCTGGTGAGTGCCCTGAGCGTTAAGCTACAGAAGTATTGCTCATTCTCATCTTTTTCCTTAGCCCAATTAATATTTAATTATTTCATGCAAATTAGAACCACCCTACAGGAACGATGGAGATTCACCTTCCTTGCGGTATTCTCCGACCTGCTGATTATTCATGTGAGGTGAGGTACTTGCAGGTTCAAGCCTTCCCACAGAGAATGTCACGGATTTGAAACAAGGTCCCCCAAATTCAGGATGAATGCTCTGATCATTGAGTTGGTAGCTGGGGGAAAGATGCCTTGTATCACATATTGCCCAGGTCAGTGGATGATCCCCTCGGATCAGGCCTGGTGGGGGAGACATAGATGGGTGTGTGGTGAATCCTGTAGGGCTTAAACATGAGTCAGGATTGAGGTTGCTCATCCCCATCTAGACTTGGCTGTGTAGTATGAGGGCCCTCATCTGTTGTTGGCATAGGTGGTAGCAGAGTCTGGAGAAAGGAAAACGTGGACTTCGGCTCCTGAATTCCCTTTGTGACTCTAGTTATAAACAAAACATACTGTCAGTCTTGCTTTTAAATGAAAATTTCTCACTGTTTTGTTTGGCTTTTGTTTTTGTCCACACTACTAGATAGCCTTGTGTGAATACTCAAACTGCTTACTGCTCTTACCTCCCAGTAACATTGCAATGAGACGAGATGTCCAAGAGGGCCAAGCTCGGTGTTTGTCTCGCCTAGGAAGGCACAAGGAGGCTCTGGATATTGCAGAAAAAATGGTAAACAATGCAATCGTTCTTTTAGGCTTTGAACATGAAAATATTGCCAGTAGTTCTTTTGTATGGACCATTTTCTGGAAAAATAATCTTTATATGTATAATCCTTCAGGATGTTCAGAGCTCAGAGTATTTGGTAAACAGAGGGTAACTGTCACTGCAGATATAATCAGTCTTTAGAAATCAGAACACCCTGTACCACAATGAGCTCCCTGTGCAGGCAGGCTGGTAGTCCTGGAAGGGACTAAATATCATGCTCTGCCAGGCAGAATTAATGTAATGTAATAGGAATTATAAGAAAGGGGATAAATGAGTGCTTAAATCTTTCCACTATAAAAGTGACGGTTCAAAACTCCCTTTTATTTCCATATACTTGCTGCCAAACCGCCACCAAGGAGGGTATCCAACCACAAATTGAGTTTTTCCCATAAAGGAAAAGGTCCAGAGACTCTGAAGTCTGCTAGAATTTTACTGCTGCTGTTTATTTTATATAAAAGGTGTTTATACTACAAAGAAGGGCAGCTGTATAAAACTCTGAAGGCAAATAAACAAATGACACAATTCAGGGCCTTCTCGCCATTCAGACTGGGACAAGGCAGCTAGAGGGAATGCTGTCAGCTTGATTGTGCGTGATCTGTATCACGTATCATTTAAAATTAAGAGCACAGTTCTGTACAATTTCAATATTACATTTAGTGGTATTTGTGTGCCATTATTCAGGGAGACATTTTCTTAGGCTCTGAAGGATGATTCTGTTCTACTCCTGTTTTTAATCTATTATCTTTTGTTTCTAGAGAAACAGCGCTACTAACACAGATCACTTAACGACAGTTCTCAACCTGCAGTTTGCCATTTACCAGGGTCTGGAAGATGTAGAAGAAAAGATCATGTGTTTGCAGCAACTGATCTGCTTACATCCTTTCAACCCTTGGTACTGGAAGTTACTTGCTGAGGCTTATATGAGCCTTTTACAGAGCTTGTCTCCGATAGTCATCCGAGAAATAAAACTAAAACAGTCCGAAAAGGTTAGTGTAAGCGATAGTAGTTTCAAAACATCAACTGGAAGAGAGATTAATGTGCAGCCTCACAGATCAGATGGCCAGAAAGAAGGCCCTTGGTCCAGCCTTGCTACAGAAACAAAGAGGGACAATGCAATGACTTGTAGCAGCAGCCAAGCTGTAAAAGAATTCCTCTGCACTTCGGAAGACCCGGAAGGGGTGAATGAAGGGAAATGCTCAGCCTCTGAGTCCTGGGAGCAGAACATATCGAAGAAAGTTGGAATCAAGGCATGTGCCTCGTTTATTAGAGCAAGGTAACTAAACGTATTCTTAGAATAATGTTAATTTCTCCCAGTTGAGAACAATATAAAGCATATTTTCCCCAGCCTTAATATTTTCAGATTACATTTTCAGTTTTAGTGTTTGTTTCAGCGTTGGCAATGCTAACTTAGAAGCACCCTGCTGTTGCTTCAGATCTAAAAAAACAACTGTAGCTGTGAACAACCTAAATCTGAGGCGAAAGAGTAAACCAGTGTCATGCACTGTTGAGAAGTAAAGCGTTTTTAATGACCTTATTATATGAATCTTTTCAAGTAATTATATACAGAAGGGCTTGTTCTTCAACAAATGCTCGTGTTAGAGCATGGCTGTTTCCTGGTTTGGTGTTAAAGATGCAGCAGCAGAAGTGCCCCAAAGGGAAGGCTTAGCCCATCTTCCTTCTGTGAGTGCCACCTGTCTTATTTGCTTGAAGCCTCATGCTTGAGCGAAAATGTATTTTATAATAATACCCCCATCCTGCATAATGGATGAGGTTGAAAATGAACTCTGTGACAGCTGATTGACAGGGCTGCATTAAAATGCTCTTTCCTTTTCTTTCCTCTCTTCCTAAAACTCCTGCACGCAACAAAAGTCCCCAAAACATAATCTTTAAAAGAGATAATTAGGAATTGGTTTTGTTAAAATAGTCTTGGATTTTTTTTCCCCCTCTTGCCTCTCAGTAATGTAATAGTCACCGAATGTATTTAAAGCCATTTTGTGAACTTCCACAAATGTTTACAGAGAACACTTTATAACTGCCCTGTTAGGGCAAGATTTAAGAAATGTAAAAAAATGATGTAGTAGCTTTTAACTGTATTCAGACTAAGAGACGGTGACTTTAATTGCTACTTGGGAGAAGTTAATAGATTTAGTAGTGTTATTGAGTATTAAAGCTTCATTCATATTAAAATAATTTGTGTTGCTTATTTCGTTCTGTATGGTTCAGCATTGAGACAGTTTAAAAATGTGGGATTTCCTTGCTGGGCTGCACAGTTTCACAAAGTGTTATTGTGGTTTATATTCGCAGATACGCTTATCCAGTTCAAGCTTCTCCCGTCGCCAGGGCTTATACATTAAATAGGTTGTCTAATGTTTTCAGGTCTGTTGGATTTTAAGTGAGATGTGGATGTTGCATAAACATATGTGCATGGTAAATTGCACTTGGAAAAGGGATGGTAGTACTGCTTTTTGTAGGAAATAAGGTTCTGTGTTAAAGCATCATAAATTGACTCTTCTAGTCTTGCCAATAAAAAACACATTGGAGAAATGGTTTTGTTTAATTTTCGTTGAGATGTCATTCTTTCTTACATTATGTTGATGCAAATTTTGAAACAAAAATGCTTTACAAATTAAAAATACTTTCCATTTTACTTTGAATTTCCCAGTCAAAACTTTACTGAATTTACAGATGTTTTGTTGGCTCAGACTTGTAAATTTTGATGTTTATAATGTTCAAATGAAAACCTTAATCTAAGATCTTAAGTCTTCTCTTCGTAAAAATACACACCTTTATTATAACACCTGCTTCATTTAACTTTGGTAAATGTGATAAAAAAATTGTTGTTCTTTACGCATAAAGCTTGAATTAAACATAGATTCAGTAGTGATACTGCTAAGTCCCAGTGGTCCTTTGGTTGAATATACTTAGATATTTCCTCTGCTGACGTGTTTTACAGTCTTTGTGTGAGGAGGACTCTGGAAACTGCCGTTGCTCTCTCTGTTCAAGCAGTTGGTGATGGGGTTCCTTCAGGACATGAAGCCACGTTGTGGGGACAATGTCTAACCTTCATTGAATCATGGTGGTGACTTCTGGGGCGCTGCCTTGAACATAAAACGGTGGTGAAAGATTTTAGAAAATATTCCAGGGTTGGCCTCTGTGGGGAGGATGCTTGGTGTTTGTCTAAACCCCCCCAAATTTCTTGCTTTTCAGGTTACAAAGATCATCACTGCCATAGGCAAAACTGCTCTGCTGTCTTGTTAGGCCTTAATAAGGATGTGGGACACCTGACGTACTGCAGTTACTGTTGGCAGATCTGAGCTTCACTTTTGAATTGTGTGACGGATACATGGGGAGAAAAATGTTTGCGCAGAGCAACCAGAGGTGCTTGGCATGTTGTTTTTCAAAAGTAATTCTCACTACTTCTCCCAAAGCATGGATGTACCATACCCATAGTAGATGGATACACGTGTATTCATTTCTTTGCATTTTTTGCAGAAGTCAGGAAGAACAGTTGTTTTAAAGTATTCTATTTTGGTTGGTTTTAGGTTTGCTGACCTACTCTTTTGCCAGCTGTGCCTTTTTTTTAATTGCCTTTTTCATTTCAGGCTTTTACTTCAGCTTACGCAGTTGCAACAGTTGTCCTTTGCGTTGGAAAACAACATAACAGGTCAAAAAGAAATTGATGAAAAAGTGGCACGACTTGGTTTCAATGAAAACTCCGTGCTGTTGATGACCAAAGTAAGGGGATGTTTCATCGTGTGCATGTTCTCAGCTGTACGTAGGCTGGTTGAGGTACCTAAGCCAGTTCTGGCACAAAGTCCTGTTAAGTGTGACACTCCCCTGGGCTAATTAACTGTGCCAGGAAGCAAGGTAAATTAGCTGGGGCGGGTTGCCTTGGTAGTGTGTTATCCTGAACTGACAGTGATACCTATATAGCACTGGCTTGTGTCATGCAGGTGTATCCCTGCTGCAGAGATTCTACTCCCAGGAATGTTCAGGGTTGTTAAGTTCCTCATTGAACTTTTATTTGTAGATGCATCATCGCTGTGCGTATCCTGGGATACAGATTTTATCTCAGGAATTTCAGATGCTACAAAGTGAATCATAAGTATGAAATGGAAGCAGAGACTACTCTGGTGGCCACAGCAGTATTAAACACCTCCAGAAAAAGTATTAAACATTTTCAGAAAAAGTCAGAAACATCCTTTTACATGATTTCTTCGTTCTGTTTGATGTACTGGGTTCTAGTTTTAAAGAAATACAAAGGAGGAGAGTAACATTGCTTGACTTTATTCATAGAGATTAAACATTTTTAGTGCTATTTATAGAGTTTCTGACTTTTATCTTAAGGAACAAAAGGAAACCAGAGAGATTCTAACTTTGCTGTCAGTATTACAGCTTTAAGTTGGTGGAAGCCAAGACATTGCCGGGTTGGCAGGCAGTCTAGCGGGATTTCATCCATAAGAGGGCAGTAGCATGCAGACTATCTCAGGTTTTGAAAAAGTTGGGGAAAGAAACTTCTCTCCTGGCTTCCCTTGGTCCCGCACCTCCCCAGGAGGAGATCAGAGTGTTGGTGCTGTTGCAAGCTAAGCACTGAATGCAGAGTTGGCGTTGAGATTTCCGCTGCTACTCAGAGAGTAAAAATCCCCTCGCACAAGCGTGGCCAGAAGCTGGGTTGGGTTGTGCAGCTGTGAAGTTTGGGCGCTCAGTTCTCCCTGCTTATTGCAGAAAGCAACAGGCAGACAGCTTGATCGTGACTTGGAAACTTCTCCTGGATGGCCTGTGGTTCATGTGTGTGTGTTCATGTGTGTGGCTTTTCTCTGCAAGTTGTTTTCTTGTTTCCCATCTTTTTTTCTTACTCTGTTCACAGGTTATGGGGCAGGATCTTGTACCAGAAAAACTAAAAGAGGAATTTCAGGGTGAGGTAAAATGCATAGGCCCTTCAGCGCTGTCATCATTGGTTACTGCATCAGCCACAGAATTTGAAATCAAATGGTTCGGTACTCTCCAAGATGATTTATGTCACTTTGACGGACAATTCTATTCAGATATGTATCTCCCCCCTTCGGTAACTTAAAGGTTTTGTTGTTTGTATTCTCCTACCTCCAAATGATTACAAAATGATACTTACAATAAAGTTCATATGACATTTTTTAAGAATTCTTATTGTGTATCTTTTGTGTATCTTTTAAGAATATATATAAATCTCTGTGTTCAAACTCTTAATATCTCATCATTTTCTTTGTTTGCTAATTTGTTTGTATTTAAAGTAATAAGGAATCCGATATAAAATCAGGCTTTCAGAGATAGCTTTCCATCATAAACCTTGCTGAGTTATGCTTGAAGCACCTGTGATTTTGGGGGCCTGCGATGCCAGTGGATGGAAGGCTTCCTTTATGGTGTCCAGTTTGAAAGTTTTTTGGTATCGCATTCTATGTTGTTGCATTTAGAGCAATGGAATTAGCCATTTCCTTAATTCTTGGGTTTTTTTTTTAATATTTCTTGATTAATTGACATTATAGTGATTTCCTGTTCTAGGCTGGATAGCCAGAAATCTTAAATATATTTATGCTGAGAATTTGTCAATAAGAATAATTCTGTATATTTTAGGAAAAAAAAATCTAAATGGTAAATATTTTAACTTAGAACCGGAAGGAGATTTTCTTTCTTCAAAGCTAAGCGTTTTTTGCAGGCGTAGAAGTAGCTATAGCCTTGTCTTCAGTGCTCTTAGACGAGGGAGGAGAAAAACTGTCAACGTTGTTTATATGTACTGAAGAGTGTTTAGTCAGATCATATCCTTTGTAAAACCCTGCAAGGAAGAAGATCTTTGCTGTGAAAACTGGCAGAGTTGTTTCTGCATCATGTAGCTCCTTATGTTATGCTTTCAGTTGATAATGACACCACTTTGCTTTACTTTCTGAAGCATCGACGCTGCGTGCTTGGGGCTTCTACAGAAAAAGGCAGAGATTATCCTGCAGTTTCTTTTGCTTGAAATAATTTACATTTGAGGCAAACAAGGTGTGCTCTTCCCCCATCTTCTCTTAAACTGTGAGAATTAAATGATGTGTAGCTTTTTCTAAAAGTGTTCTTTAATGCATATAGTTTAAAACCAAGAATCCCTTAGACATAATTTGCTGGGACTTCATGTTTTCCTGTGTTTTCTTTCTGAAGTACTAAAGCGTGCCGGAACTTTAAATAACTCACAGTTTAACTCACAGTTGACTGGTAATTCACCATATGAGAGCACACTGTGTATCTGCTACTTTGAGATAGTGGTCAGGGACGCTGTTGCTAACCATTGGTATGGTACAGCCCTCTGCTAAGTTGACTGTGAAACCTCTCCAGAAAAATGGAATATTGCCTTCAGCCACGTCAAATTATCTTTGATAGTTTGGTGACTTAATGCGATTAAACCACATCCTGGTCAGCTTGTTACGAAAGATGATGACTTGGCAAGTATACTTGGGTAAGCATTAATGCACTCATGTATTGCAGAATATTTGGTTTAGTCATGCGTGTGCTTTGCTAGGTGGAATTTTTTGTGTGCGTGTGTAGAGCACTATATTCGGATGGCAGTGAAGCCCGCCTGAAGGGCTGGGGATGCTTTTAACACTAACTGGTGTCATAAGTTTTCAGTAGAGACTGTCCATAACGTGCTGTAAATTAATTATGACGTTGGCATCAACAGTAGAATGTCTTACAGCAAAGGCATAGCAAACATGGAAAGCTTAATGCCAAATATGTCAGCAGAAAACTGGAACAGGGACTTCTGCCGGTTTCTTCTTAAACTTAAGGTCGTGAGTAGCCACATAAAAAGGCTATAATGGTTTTTGCCACAGCTCTGGAGTAGGTTCAGTAGTTAGGACACCAGAACACAGCTTTTGTGGAACCAGTTCTGTATAGATGTTTAATGGGAAGTCGCCAAATGATTTGGCTTCACCGTTTAGAAGGTGGAAATATAATTGGAGCTGTTTTAGCAGCAAATTAAATACTTGCCAAATATTGTCATTTTGTGACTGAGATGTCCAAAATACACTCGGGCTAGCCAAGGTGATTTGGAAACGTTTTTCTGTGCGTGCAGATTGTTTGACTTGAGATTGTCTCTAAGACTGGGAACGCAACGGTTAACTCCTCACTGGCTCCGGGAGTGGAAGGCAAGTGGCAGTTCTTTAAGAACAGGCAGTATTTTCTCAAACATAACAATAAAGCAAAAATGTTGTTTTTAACTACTGCAAAGAAAACAACATGAATGTTGTTCTGAACATGTCGCATAGTTACTGTTCCAAATAACCAGTGTTTATTGCTCTGGGGCTATGAAATATTCCTTTGTCCCACTTGTGCCTGACTATCTCTCATCTCAGCTACTTCAATTCCTCCTTTTTTGGCTTGCTCCTCACTTTTTTGGCATGCCACTTCTAACTTCAGTTTTCTGTTTCTGATCACATCTCAAGAGGGGCTTTGCATTTCCATCTTGCATTTGAATGCCTCATTGTTGTTTCTACATTCTGCATAATTTTACATCTGCCTGTAGTAGATTTCTTCATGTTTTGGCTCTTATGATATTATTATTGGTATTAGTACATGCACCAGTACTCCACGCTGAGTTAAATAGCAAATTTTAGTATTGCAAACTGCAAGTGAGAATCCGTTAACAGTTACTGAGGTTTGATTTTGTTATTTTAACACTTGCTCATGTTACAGATGCTTTGGGAAGGACTCTCTGACCCTGGTTCTGATTCTTCTGAAATGACTGCTGTGTACAAACACAATTGAATTGTGGGTCTTGCTATTGAGTGTGTGAATACTGCTGGCTTTGAGGTGAGGGAACATGTTAGTGCTGTAACTAGTGACACTAACACAGTCTTCTCCATCACAGAATCATGGGATGGTTTGGATTGGAAGGGATGTTTCAAGATCATCTAGTCCAGCCCCCTGCCATGGGGACATCTTGCACTGGATCGGGTCGCTCAAAGCCTCATCCAGCCTGACCTTGAACTCTGCCAATGATGGGGCATCCACAGCTTCTCTGGGCAACCTGTTCCAGTGTCTCACCACCCCCAGAGTAAAAAATGTCTTCCTTATATCCAATCTAAATCTGCCCTCTTCCAGTTTAAAACCATTGCCCCTTGTTCTGTCGCTGTGTGGTGGGTTGATGTTGGCTGGCTGCCAGGTGCTCACCCAGATGCTGTATCACTTCTCCTCAGCACGGCAGAGAAGGAGAAAATAAAATGAAAAAAAAAAAAAAAAAGGACTTGGGAATCGAGATAAAGGCAGTTTAATAAAGAAAAAGCAAAGGCTGTGTGTGGAAGCAAAGGAAAACAAAAAAACCCATTTATTCTCTATTTTCCATCAGCAGGTGATGTATGTGTATAGTCTCTTCACATTGCTTACAAGGAATCAAGAGTCATAACACAGGGTCCTGCTCATGCTCTGAGCCGAGAGTCGCCTTTATTGCTGGCAACAACAAAGGGGTTTTAGCTAGTGCCTGCTTATGTCTCCTGCCTTCTTTCCAATACCTGCACACAAACCAGAAGAAAAGAAAAATGGAAGCAGATTCATTTCGGTAACAATTTGGCAACCCAGGTGCGACTCTGCAGGTTCCTGACCTGTTGAGTGTGGCGATGGCATATGACACTGCCAGTACTGGCTGAGTTCACCCGATTGTCCTTGTGGGATCTGCCTTCCCTGGGAAGGCACTGAAATCCAGGGGCAGCATCAGTTATGGAGGGGTTCAGTAGATAAGGTAAAATGGGGTTTGCCACTGGTGGAAATTCTGGGACGCCAGAAGAAAATTGATGGTACTTCAGGACTCAGTAAATCTTGAACTGTAGTTCTCTGTTGGGATGAGTGGCCAGCTGGCACTCAGAAGGGGACACCCTCTGAGCAGCGGCCCCTGGGAGGTTCGTTTGCTGAGTAAGCTGTCCTTCCTGCCTCATCTGCCATACGATATCAGGCAGAATTGCCTCATGTGGTAAATCCAGGCTGACCACTCCCTGTCACCTTCCTGTCCTTCACATGACAAGCTGGAAGTTATTTCCAGGATCTGTTGCTCCATCACCTCCCCAGGGATGGAGGTACAGCTGGCAGGACTAGCTAGGGTCATCAAAAGGGCCACACAGGAGTATGGTCTGCAGTCGTCCAGGAAGGAGAAATGTCTGGGTGCTCTTTATTTTCTAGGAGAAGCAACAGGGGCAGACCGGGGCGCTCTCTCTTGGGGGGAAAAAAAGCAGCCTGTGGAAGAAGCAGTGAGTGAAATGTTCCCGAGGAGCACAAGCAGCGAGCACAGGGGATGTCCTTGAGCACGTGCTCCTCTGGGTTCTTTGTGTGTGAGCAGCAATTGCACACGCAGGCGTGCACGTGAGGTGCGCTCCGTTACCCGTCCTACAGCCAGGCACCAGGCTTCACACTCCGAAGCGCTTTAACGGGCAACACCGGCAGGACACCAGCGGAAGCATCTCTGAGCCAAAAGACCCGCAGGGCCAGTTCGGGCTGGGGAAGGGACATGGGGACACTCTGGAAGGCCCTGGCCAAGCCCAGCCCATTCCCTCAGCTTACTGCCATAGTACGAATGCGAGGGCCGCAGTGGGTTCAAGGTGCCCTGTGAACATCCTTCCCTGGCACGTGAGCGATGCCTGTGCCATGGTCCCCTGGGCAACCCCACTTGCTGTTTTGCTGCTGTCCGCTCTCTGCTCCCCACGGGGAGGACATGCAGAGCAACCAGCCCCAACGGGAGAGTCCCTGTCACTGCCAACAGCAGTGGTGCTCTGACATGGCAGAGTTGCCCTCTGGAAAGCCCTGGGGGCCTTTGCTGGGCTCTGCAGGGGCCCATGGAGGGTCATAATTACCCTCCAGTCTGCCCAGAGGCCTCTGCAGGGCCCCAAATTATCTCCTCCCACAGCATGTAGGGGGTTGGTTTGGGCAGGACCAGTATGGCTAGCAGATCCTCTGGTGTTCATCAGCCAAGTGGCTTCTGCTAAATTTGTATCCCACTGCTTCCATTGCCCAACGGTCTCAACATAGTCTTTAGTGGTCCTTTCTCTCTCTCAGTCTTTCCAGAGGCTTTTGGGCAATCAGGGATGTGATACATCCACTTAGTGCTGTGTTTCTCGGCCCAGGAGTTTATGAGGTTATTTTGGAAATGAGTCCCATTGTCTGATTCAGTTCTTTCTGGGGTACCATGTTGCCACAAAATTTGCCTTCCAAGGCCTGAGATGGCGCTTGGGGCAGTGGTATGGTGTACAAGGTATGTTTGTAGCCATTGGTAGTTACTTCCACCATGGTGAGTACATAGCACTTGCCCTGGTGTGTTCGTGGCAGTGAGCATCTACATGACGTACCTTTGGAGCGATGTTGTCTACCTGGGCAGTGGTGTCTTGCCACAATGCAGCAGCCCAGATGGGTTTACCCTGTACTGTTAATTGGTCTTCTTCCACTGCTGTAACCACCACCATGGGGTGTTGGCCACCAACCAGGAGTCAGGATAGAGATGGAGCAATGACCACGTTCCTTGTGGGGAGTGGGCAGGAGGTTGGGAGGGGGCAGAGCCAGGACAGCTGATCCAAGCTGACCAAAGGGATATTCCAAACCATGTGACATTGTGCTCAGCAATAAAGCTAAGAGAAAGGAGCGGTGCAGGGGGCATTCATCATTAAGTCATTCATCTTCTGGAGCAACTGCTACATGTGCTGAGGTCCTGTTTCTCAGGCAGTGGCTGGACGTTGCTGCTGATGGGAAGTAGAGAAGAAATCTTTTTTTATCTTTTGCTTCCATGTGCAGCCTTTGCTCTTCCTTATCAAAGGGCCTTTATCTCAACCTATGAGTTCTTTTTCCTCCTTTTTTCTTCCCCCATGTCCTGCTGAGGAGGGGAGTGATAGAGCGGCTGGGTGGGCACCATGCGGCCAGCCAAGGCCCACCCACCACAGAGACTATACTGTCCCACCCCTCCATGGTGGGCAGGGTACCAGAACACACACATAAGGCCTCACTCGCCTATGGCAGACACTGTCTCTTCTGCAGGTGAAGGGAGGCAGTGGCTGACATGGGGTCAGGGGTTTGCGGCCCCTTGCAGACCCAGGGACCGCGACCGGCGGTGGCTGTTGACAGCAGCGTTTGGTGGCCGATGACCCGTTCCCTGAGCCTTCAGCCATGGGGTGGGATGGTGTGGACTGGGGGCCTGTGGTATACAGCTGCCTATCACCCCACCAGGGCCCAGTGTGGGCCCCCGACTGCCCTGCACAGACAGAGCAGCACCACCAGATCGAGCCTCCATTTTTCTGGTTGGCATTAGAGGAGAGATCGCCAAAAGCCACTACCCTGGGCAGCAGAGGACATGCCAGGCTGTGGCGGGTGTTCTGCTCCTGGTGCCAGAGCCTGCGGTGGAAGACTTGGTGCTCCCTGGCAGCGCCTGCAGCCGGCTGCTGGAGCAGAACGCCTGCCTGCAGCATGCCCTGAAAGACCTGGAGAGGCAGAGCACTGCCCTGGAGGTGGAGAACCACCTCCTGAGAGAGAGAAGCTCTCCAGAAGCATGCAAGGAGGCAGAAAGGCTCCAGCAGAAAACTGCTCAGCTAGCTGTCCTCACCGAGCAGCTGACAGAAAGATGCAGGCATCTGCAGGAGACCATTGGGAACCTGGTGAGTTCTCCAATGCCACAGCCCATCCACAGCTCTGCTGAGGAACCATGCATGAAATCATTTCTTTGGCAGAGGGCTGGAGAAAGGAGAGAGCACGCTGGAGCTTTGCTGGCACAGCACCAGCAGAATGAAGCCTCGCTGAAAGCAGCTGAGGAGCTCCAGGCCCAAGTGGCTGCAGATGATGAGGGCTCATGTGATCAGCCAAAGGTGTGAGGAGTTAGAGGTGCAGCTTCTGGAGATGATGGATGAAAACACCGCGCTGACTGAAGAAAATTCTCACCTCCGTGGGCACTGGGCCCAGCATCTGCACTGGGCAGAACAGGTTCAAGCTGAAAATGCTGACCTGAAGGGGCAACTGACACGAGAGGCAGAGCAGAGAAATTCTGCCATCCAAGCCATGAGTTGGCTTCAAACCCAACTGGAAGCTGCAGAGCGCAAACCGAAAGCTGTGAGAGACATGGCTGAAAGTGCTCTGACAGAAGTAAAAAGGGACCACGGAGGAGCCAGGCAACTGTTTTGATGAGTGAACCAGAGAATTGGTTTCAGAGCCTCTCAGAGTCCACTTGGGCAGAGGACAGTTGTGGCTCCTGCCTTCTTTCAGAGGAAGAACCCGCAAGTGAGACAGCAGACAAATGGTCCATGATCCTGCAGGCTGTGGGACAACAGCCGGGAAAGCTTCGAGCGTTCATAGCTCCATATAGCTACGGTCCTTGTGATGGTCCTGGTGAGCAGCCTGAACCAGAGCTTCCTCCAACTGCTGGACAATGTGATGATGTCTTTGGACTGGTGGATGAGGACAGTTGGTCTGTGGGAGAGCCGTCGGACAGCACAAGAGGATTGACCCCCTCTACTTGTGCTGGAGACGACTCAGATGACGACCTGGCAAATGAGAATTGGGATGATCCTCGTTATTTTATTTTCGGTCTGTCACCTATTTTTGGAGGGAGATGAGGCAGATCTAGATGTGGGTGATGGGAGCTAAAAAGCATAAATAAATGTAGCCTATACAAACCTCCAGGATATCTTCAGAAGGTAATTTGTACTTAAAAGTGATTTTTTTCAGACTTTTAGATTTTTGTGTAGCAGGACGACTTCTGGAGGGCAGCAGGGGCCTGCAACGGGCCCAGCAAAGCCTGGATGAGGCCTTGGGGCACTCTGGAGGGTAATGTGGGGCCTTTGCAGGGTGTGTCCCCAGAGCTGGACGCAGTACACCAGGAGGGATCTCACCAAAGCGGAGTAGAGGGGCCATATCACCTCCCTCAACCTGCTGGCCATGCTTCTTTTGATGCAGCCCAGGATATGGTTGGCATTTTGACCTGCAAGTGCACATTGCCACTTCATGTCCAACATCTCATCCACCAGCACCCCCAAGTCGTCGGCAGGGCTGCCCTCTATCCCTTCACCCCCTGGCCTGTGTTGATACCGGGGGTTGCCCCAGCCCAGGGGCAGGATGTGGCACTTAACCTTGTTGAACTTCACGGGGTTCACATGGGCCTCCAGCCTGTCCAGATCCCTCTGGACATCATCCCTTCCTTCAAGTGAATCAACTGCATCCTCAGCTTGGTGTCATGCACAAACTTGCTGAGGGTGCATTGTATGGCGGCCGTGTTTATTCCAGCCCTTCTCTGGCAGCAGACGGACAAGGTACGTCAGCATCCTGCCCTGACCTTCCTGACAGGTAGTTTCTGCCGCTGCCTGTAATGACACATTCCCCTCATCACTGAGTGATCAAGCTTGTGGGAGTGTGTTAGGATTTTCGGCATAACTCAATGCTGAAATTGTAAACTCTGATTGTTTTCCATCAAAACCAAAATTCCATTCGTTTGATGTTCAAGTTCAGCTGTTGTCTGAACTAGCACAAGCGGCATCCCTGATCCAGGGCTGAAATCAGCTCTTCTTTACTCAGTGCTCCTTCTGGGTTATTACCTTGTCCCTTATCTAATTTTCATTAGCTGTGTTCTCCAAAACTTCTGTAGGCAAACTATCTTGCCCCACAGAGATGAGAAGAGCTCCTTCATGGATTCCATGGGTCATGGCTTGAGGGAATGATGGCTTCAGAGGTAGTGGTCTGCAAACTTCTCCCCATATCCCTTTTATGCCACCCCCAGTTGGGTCACAACAGGATAAGAGAACTGACCCAAATTTACAAGAAAAATGTTAATTAGGCTGGGGGAACGCCTATGCTAAATTCTGTTCCTGTTGATTTCAGAAGAAACAAAATGTGGTTCTCTTCACCCGGATTCTGACTGTATGGAACTCATTTAGCTTTTAGAAGAGAAGAGTAAGGTGCACAAGTCAAGACAATATGAAGAAATGAAACGATTCTCAAAGGGATTTTAATGAAAATCTCTTTTATTTGAATGGTTGCCATATTTAGATAATTAAGTAGAATTGTCATAGGAATGAAAATCAACTTTCCCTTCTTCCCGAGGAATCCGAAAAATGTTGCTATGTACAGAATTTACAATTATATGCAATAGTTTATTGTTATTCTGGACTCCAAAATTTGATATCACAGGTACAAATGTCCACACTGAAGCTAGAGCGGGATGTGTCCATCCTGCACTTTTCATAACGTCCTGTAAACTTTACCGGTGTACTTTCAGAATGATTGCTCTTCCAAGGATGAGAAACTTTCCTCACCTGAGATCTTGCTGCTGCATACAATTTTCATCATCCACAGCCCAAAATAATTAAACTGTATTCCTTTCTGAGCAGGCGAGCAGCCAGGCAAAATGGGCCAGATGTGCAAATGCGTTTAGGGTTCTGTTTTCTGTCAGAGTCAAATGAAAAATGATATAAAGCAGGTGTAGAAAAATAATCTACTGATGAAACAATATATGTTAGGCATCTAGTAACTTTGGGATTTGGGTGCAAATCCTTTGTTTTATGAATTTTCTTACTATTTTTTGCCTTATCTTACTGAAGCTTCCTTTGTTTTCATGGATTATTTGGCAAAAAGTTTTTCTGTTTCTGTTCAAGCTGCTGAACCTCTGTAACTCCCTCTGTAACTGTATTCTACGGGCACTACAGACACCCAGTTTCCCTTTAAAAATTAGAAACTTCGAAGAATTCTGAATTAAAGCATCATTATCTCTAACTTATCGTTAGACCACTGAAAGGACTTCTAAGATCCACGTGCTATTAAATAAATTGGAACTCAGTCCTGGTGTGTTTTTAGTGGGACTTTTTGCTTCTTTACTCAGCTTCATTTTCCAGCCTGAATCTATGCAGCTGCTCTGCAATAAGGAAAATTGCTCTGACGTGGTGGGATTGGAGGTTGGTAACAGAGCCTGTTGGAACACACCCCTGTTGCTAATGAGTGGAAGTGAGCATACGGTGGCTGCAAGATGTCATCTGTAACCCGAGTTGTCTGTCTTGGTCTGTGTTAGCAGGTCCCTTCCTAGGAACCTTGCGAGCAGCCGTCCTTGCTGTGCTCCTCAAGCAGAGAGCTCAGAGACAGTGCAGTGGCAGAAACTGTGCTTCCCTGTCAGCCCTAAGGGAGTTCTCCTAAATCAAAATTAAGGTGCGATGACAACATGAAGGTAGAGTGCTGCTGCCAGCAACGCCTCGGTTTGGCAGGTAAGTAGCAGCCTTCAGTCTCCTTATGCAAGTGCATAAAACACACAGTAATAAACTGTGACTTACACCACTTCCAGGTGCCTGGCCATGCGAACAACAGTTAACCACCTAAGTCTACTGCTACACAAATATGCTACCAAGGGCAGGTGATAGGCAGCAGTGGGGTTGCACTGTGAGCAGCATTATTTAGAAGTGTTCTTCCTGGGATTGTGATGCACCCAAGGTTTACATGTTAGCAGGCATGGCTTTTTAATTAGGGAAACGAAGCATCCATAAGCAGCAAAACATAACAAGAGGCTTGAAATCATCCTCATTTTGTATTATACAGAATTTCTATATTCATCAGTACACAAGCGATTGCTAAACAGGTCCTCACTACATTTACTTGCAATTCAAAACAAGGTGGTTATTATGCAAACAGGTTAGCTTTGTGGAGGCATCTCCAGGGTGAGCTTAACCCTGTCCTGTTTGGTTCCTCTTGTCTAAGTCTTACAGGTCTGTAAATGTTCATGTTGTTATACAGAACTGCAGAGTTATCGGCCACGTAGTGCGGCTGATAGTAGTTAGGCTGGATGGCCTTCTGTGGTGGTGGGGGTGTGAATGAGACATAGCTGTGGAAGGAATTAACTCTATGGAGAGGTGACTGGGGGGTGAAGTTGCTGCTGAACATGAGAGTTCTCGGGGTTTGCTTGCCCTGGTGGGTGCTGCCAGCTGAGAGGCTGCTGAAAGGATCAGAAAGAGGGTTAGCGCTTTCCTCGTTGCTGTCGGGGAGGCTGCGCTGGGGGGCCCAGCTCTTGCTGAACAGGAAGGGCATGGTGCGCGGTGGAGACTTCGGTCCCCTCACGGGCTTGGACAGGGCATAAAGGTGTCGGAACTCTTCATCAAACAGCTCCACAACTTGACCCGTGAACTTGGAGAGGAGGTTGCGGTGAACCTGGCCGCATAACCATGTGAAGCTGGAAGGAGAAACAAGGTAAGGGTTAGTGTTAACGTCAGCCATTAGGAACTGGAGATCCCCACAGGGGTGGTGCGAAAGGCAAATGTGTTTTACTGCTGAAGCTTCTTGTCTAAACACAGAATGAAGATGGTGTCGCAGTTGAATTTCAGGTCAGTTCACATCAGTGCTCTTTGACTTGGATCAAGCTTTGTTATTGCAGCTGCCTGTAAAACCTTCAAGAAACCTTGTGGAGTTATACAATCTCCTAAAGGCAGTGGTGATCCAGATCCACTGCAGGACTAAATGTCAGATACAATACCCAAGGTTTGGGTGTGTGTTCCATGGAAAGAAGGTTAGACCTCTCTTTTGGGTACCTCTCTTCCATGCACAATGCTTCAATGCAGGTCTTACCATGTCTTGTCTGCGCACACATAAATTGTACGTTCCCTGCAGAATGCCATGCTTGTTGGCAACTCTCGCCCACTCAAAACTGACATTAGAAAGACTAGTGAAAAATAACCATCCTTTATTTTCATTTTGCCATAGTTTTTCTGCATTGGTCAAGAGAAACACATAAAACCCCAGCCTCCCTGTCACATCCCACTTCCACAAAACAAACCATCACACCTGACATGCTTATTTTCTCCACTACACAGAAAATGAAATTATAAATACTTCCTACAGCCTTTCCAAA